TGACATATGGGCAACAGTGGGAATGAGAAATAACACAGAAGTGAATGTGCTACCTCTGTGCTTTCGTTCTTTTCCAAGCAAGTTTCTCAGGTCAGGGACTAGAGTGAGGACTGTAAGCCCCATGACCGTTGCCGGTTCATTTTTTATCTCCCGTTCACCACATAATCTAGTTCTCTGTAGAGTATGTGAAATATATCTATGTTGCATATCTGACATGATCTTAACTATCCAAGTACGTTCCCTGGCCGCAGAAATCAACAATTTTGAATATATATATATATATTTTTTGACAGACAGAGATCACAAGTAGGCAGAGAGGCAGGCGGGGGTGGGGGGTGTGGGGGGGAAGCAGGCTCCCTGCTGAGCAGAGAGCCCGATGCAGGGCTTGATCCCAGGACCCTGCGTTCATGACCTGGGCCGAAGGCAGAGGCTTTAACCCACTGAGCCACCCAGGGGCCCCAATTTTCAATATTTTCATAGAAACTATTTCTTTTTTCTTTTTTTAAGAGACTTTATGTTTTCTAAGGTTAGGTTTGTTTGTTTTTTAAGATAAAAGCCTGGGGGGAAAAAAAAGATAAAACCCTGGTCCAGAATCCAGCCTAGTTCAATCCTAGCTGAATCATTGTAGTATCCTCACAGCATTAAGGAAGACTCATTTAATACACGTGAGTGATAGCTCAAAGAATCCATAAGGGTAGCAGGTTTCACCATCCCAAAATATGCCACTTGGGCATGAGGATTATTTTGCGTTAAGGGCAATCAAGACACAGCTGACTCAAGAAAAACTTTTAGGTCTCCCTTAACTACCTAAATGAATTTAGATAGGGGGCCTGGCCCAGAAAGAAATCTATTACTTGAGATAACTTTGCATCTGAAAGTCCTGACTATATGATAGAGCAAACCACTAATTACCCAACATGGGTTCTTCCTATTGCCTTGTGAATGACCCGCCTTTCCTTTGAAGCCCCAGGCCCCCTGTGCCATTCCTCAGCTCAGGACAGCTTTTAAGCCTCAACTGCCTGACTTGTCTTTGGATCTCATATCTCTGGGACTCCTGTATGTATGAAATTAAATTTTGTTTTTCTCCTGTAAATCTGTCTTATGTCAATTTAATTATTAGACCAGCCACAGAACCTAGAAAGGAAGAAAGAAAAGGTTTTCTACCCTGACACACACACCCATTAGAAGGCTCAGACATCATTTTTATTACATCAATGATACTGAGCAAAAGGTTAACGGTAGAGGAAAAAATGCTTAAGAAACTTGCACAAAGGTGTGTCCTGGCAAGTTTACTTGTCAGAAGACCTGATGATTCTGGTTTGCAAGGTCTGTATGCATCAAATACTTTAACATAGGTCTTTTGGGAGGTTTTAAAAATGAAAGACTTTGAAGGCCTGTAAGATAAGTTAAGGGATTTATGAATAAATGGCAGGAAATTATGATTAATAGTGACATCTTCTAGTTCCTTCTCTGAGCTTTAGTCTTCTGAGTGACAGAACAATTCATCTGATAATTACATAATTGCTACCATGACAATAATGTGACAAAGACCACAACTATAAGCCTACCATGCGTTGTGTCTTGACCTTCTGAACCTCACAGGGCTGGGGAGCTTGCTGTTATGCCACCTGTTAACCAAAGTCCTTTCTTTTTCCCTAAGATGATTGGGATAGACCATTTCCCATGATTATAAGCATCTCAAGGGCAGGAGATTGCATGCCTTGCTGCTTTTGTGAGTGATGACTCACTCATTTCCCAAGGCTCTCTTTGAAGGAAGGCACACATTAACTTTATTTTTAATTTTTTTTAAGATTTTATTTATTTATTTGAGAGACAGCGTGCCTGAGAGGGAAGAGGGTCAGAGGGAGAAGCAGACTCCCCACTGAGCAGAGAACTTGACACGGGTCTCAGTGACCTGAGCTGAAAGCCGGTGCTTAACTGACTGAGCCATTCAGGGGCCCGACACACACTAAGTTTAAAAGGGACTTCTGGAGTACATGACCTTGAAGAACACTTTTCGGCTTCTTAATGCTTTTATTTTACTAAAAACAAAATGCTCTCTCAGTATAAATACATATTTGAAAACCGTTGTGGATTTTAGTGTTAAAGACTGCTCCAACACTGGCCACAGTTTTCTTCTTCATGTTTAGGGAATCCGACAGTATTGGGAAAGTTTTTCAAATAATTTCCTTGATTCTTCAATCATCTATTTTTGTAGTCTGAAAGCTTTTGTAGCTGTGGGCAACTTAACCTTGGGCCACACATGCTAAAAATAGCCTGGGGGTGTTGACCCTTCCTGGCTGTGTGCCTATCTGTAAGAACAGAGCGTTAACAGTTTATCCTCCTTAGAAACAATTCATTTTCCTTCTTTCCTCTTTATGATGGTGTAGGGGCCAAGGGCAGGCCATCCCAAGACAGACCACTCTGGCATGAAGATTATTATAAGCTGAAGGCAACTGAGACCCTAAGGGCTCAAGAGAAACTTTTACCCTTTCCTTAACTACATAGAAGACTCGAAATTGAGGGTCTTTTCCAGAATAAGGGTTATTAGCAGAAATAAGTTTTATCTGAGTGATCCATCTGTATGGCAGGGTAAACATCTAATTACCAAACATCTGTTCTTCTTATCATTTTGTGAATTACATTCCTTTCCTCTGAAGTCCCAGAGCCCTACCCCCTTCTTAGTTCAGGATAACATATATGCTTCATTTTGCCCGTCTTTGGAATTTCCATGTCTGTGAGGATTTCCCATACGGAGACTATTAAATTTGATTTTCTCCTGTTAATCTGTCTCATGTCAATTTGATTCTTAATTCAGCTAGAAGGACCCTTAAGAAGACAGGAATTCTTGCTCCCTGACAAGCAATACTTTACTGTTACTCCTACTGCATCCTAAAAAGAAATGCGTTGTCCAAGTGAACAGATTTTTATATGTGTCCTATATCTTCTCTCCACTCTTTCCCTTCTTGAGAAATAATTCGGACTCTTTAATTAGAGCATATTCAAGAGAGTGACCAAGATGGTGGAAGTACTGTATCATCAGAAAGGAAGAAGAAATAAAAGAAACTAAGCAAGTTGAATCTAGGAAGTAAAGGCTTGGAAGGATCATCGCAAAGGTCAACAAACTTTTGATGGGCTGTTTTGGGGAACAGAGATTAAAAGTGTAGAACTGGGGTCAAGGGGTGGGCAGAGAGTGAAATAGGGATGCTTTCTAATAGGTTTTTTCAGAGATAGAACTGGCTTCCTTGAGAGGGAATGTGATCCAGTATAAAGTGACTGATAACTTAGCAATATGTTATGGAATGGTTCAATTACACAACATTTAAGTTGTTTCCAACCCTGGCAAGCTGTTTCTGTCCTTTCATATGTATCATATTTCTATTCTCAACTCCTTCATTGACTATATATGTTAAGCTACAGAAAGAAACAATCATTGCTACCTGTCCTTACTTTTCCCCTCTACTCACATCTCCCAAAGGTAGACTCTTTTAATATTGTAGTCTCCTGACAACAGAGGTGTCTGTTTTAATAGCTTTCAGTAGCATTGTTCAAAGAGAATCTATTGCCCAATAAAGTTGGAGGGGGGCAGTCTTCAATGCTCTCTTTTTTTTTCAACCTCAAAGCATCTAGGATTAAACTTGTGCTTTGAAATTAAAATCATTATAAATTTGCTGAGTAAGAGAACGCCAAGTATACTTGTTTCCAAAGCTGGAAACTTTTCACTTAGCATAATGTAGGAAAAAAAACTACTTTTCTTTTGTATCGCACATGAAAAATTTCTGCAATGAAGGCACAGCTCCAAGTTCACAACTGTTTTGTAAAAAACAAAACAAAACAAAACAAAACACAAAAAACAAGCCCAAACTGGAGTCATTTGCCTCCCCTCCCCAATAGCAAACCAAGACTTAATTACAGTTTTGACCTATCTCAGGAGTGTGACCTTTTAAAAGTCAATCTGAAATTTCCCCTATCAGCACCAGTGACTTCATCTGCATGATAAAAAAACAACACCAGTAACAACAAAAACCCCTACCTGTCCCTGTACTCTGTCCCCAAAGAAAGTGTCCAGGCTTGAACCAATCCTTTCTTTCTTTCTTCTGTTAATAAATTTTTGCACCACCCTCCTTCCTATAAAAACCGTCCATTTTGAGCTACTGCTCAGAGCTGCCTTATTCACGAGTCATTTAATAAAGCCAATTAGATCTACAAATTTACTCAGTCGAATTTTGTTTTTTAATAGTCTCCAATTTGAACAAATTCAATATATATTTATACATATTTTAACCCTGTGCCTACTGTGTTGGGGTTGCTGTGGAATCAGATTTTAGCGCAGCAGATATGGTACTCAACCAAAATCTATCTTCCTTGAATTATCATTAATGAATAATAACTGAGTGTTAGTTTTTAAATGACTAATCAATTAATTACTGTTAATCTTGGGAAGATACTACACATGCTAAAGTTATCCAAGCCAGAAAAAACTGTCAAGAAGTACTGCAATGGGGAATCCCTCAGACATAATTCTTAACACTAAAGGAAGAACCTTCAAATAAAGAACACAATCTTTGACTTAAAGTTTCCCATTATTTTTGATTGGTTTGTTTATTTCCAACAGTAATAAATAGCATTTAACTTCCTATCTCCTGCGTACAAGTTCTGTGCCAAGCTCTTCACATTTCTTGTCTTCTTTCATCCTTAGAACACACTAAAGAGTTGCCACCATTGTTTCCCCATTGGCTAGTATCAGGAAACTGAAGCTTAGGGATGTGATATGCCAACCCCAAGATTTTGGGTAGAGCCCAACAAGGGATCCATATTTGATTCTCTAGCCTGAGCTAGTCACGCATCCACTGTGTTATCCATTGCGATGGCCCTAATGCTATTGTGCTTATTTTGTTTAGGGTAAACTGATGTGGAAAAGCACAATATTTTTTTAGTTCCCAATTCTTTCCCTCACATTACAGGTTCAGGACTACTCAAGCTTAGAAGATGACACTCACCCCGTTTGTGAAGGAGAACGCTGGCGTGCCGACGTCCATTTCCATTTTCAACGTAGCAGGAGTAATTTCCCAAGTCACCTTCTTCTACAGAGTCCACAATTAATGAGATGGAAACTTCCTGTTCCCCGAGATGCTCCTTGAGAATTCTAAAATATAAAGCAAAACGAAACAAAAAACCCCACACAAACATACACAGACGTGAAAGAGAAAAAAAAAATTAGATGAATCTGAATCTGAGGTGAAAATACCTACAGCATCTGTGCTTTAAATTTGGCTACGGTTGATGCTACCATAATTAAATTATATTGTGCACTTTTCTTCTTCATTTTTAATGAGGAAGCTTGTTTTTGGAGATGCTAATGAAGTTGCAGTTAATTATATCTCTTAGCAGGACAATCACACTGTCATAATAAAGAGGTGAGAAAGACCTTGAAGAAAAGTTTACAAACTGCTTTCCTTTTAAGAAATATGATATAGTAAAGGTGAGAGAAGAAATTCTAATGTCTTAGGCTGGGAGACTAATTATATAGGTCAGTTTGGTTTAGTTTTGTTTTGTTTTTAAAGAAAAATAGAAGATTTTGGAGCTGTTTTGACATTTCACTTGAAAGCTCTAGCCTGGCTTTTTTCTTTTTTTTAAACAATACAAATCAATTGCCTATTTTAAAAGAATCATGAAATTACAAGCCCATAGACTAAATATTCTGAGGAGGTGCTTAATTCTAACATTAAAATGAATGGTAAACACTAACTTCACCGTCAAAGGTTTTCATAATCTTTTAGAGTGAATGGAAAACCTCCAAGTGAGGCTCCCTTTCCCTGCGTGGAAGGTTTCCACCTCCACCCTCTCATCTGTTTGGTAACTCATATTGCACCATACTTCCTAATGTAGAATTACAGAAATACACCTTTCTAGACCCTTTCTTCAGCACCCACAAAAAGAGGGGAAAAGTTAGGAAGTTTATTGTTCTCTTTTAACTTTAACATCTTAAAGTATATGGTTAAAGGATAATAGCGAACTTATAAATGTGAAAAATGGTACAGCAACCTTTTAGCACATATTGGAGAATTGTCCATCTAGGTATTTCCGAACCCAACTGGAGTGCAATATTCTTGTGTATTTGTTGCCAGGAAGAAGATCCCAATAGAAATAACCTTATATGACAGTTTTATATGTTTTTTATTTGCTATTGCAAAACTTTTTCACTTACACATTTAGGAAGAGGAAACTTAGCTTAAATGCTCATATATACCCAGAAGATGTGAGCTTCAGATCGGTGAATATTTACACACGATCAGCATTTTGATTCAGTTATAACTTAATTATTATTCATAATGCTTGCTTACTTATACTATGATTAAAGATGAGTATCTATGTCCAAGCATAAGTTTAGTTATAATTGAATACCTCAATACTTAAAAGTAAATGAATAAATAAGTTTTTTAAAAGAGGTTTAAACATTACACCCTCAAAATAGATGGTATTTTTTTAAAAGATTTTATTTATTTATTTGTCAGATAGCACAAGCAGAGGGAGAAGCAGGCTACCCACTGAGCAGGGACCCCGACGTGGGACTTGATCCCAGGACCCTGGGATCATGACCTGAGCCGAAGGCAGAGGCTCAACCAACTGAGCCATCCAGGCATCCCAATAGATGGTATTTTTTAATGGTTATTCTTTATCATTTATCATTCTTTATCATTCCCACTATATTAATATTTAGACCTTAAAGTAGGTCTAAAAAAGACAATGAAAACATTTTGTGTATCCTTTATCATTCTTATCAAGTGCTTTATGATCTACTTGATGGCTCAAATATGTAAAAACACATAAAAGGAAATGAAAGAGACTGTGTTTGGTTGAGTCCTTGTTAATATTTCTTCTTGACAATTTTCTAAAAAAGAGCTCATAAACAAAAGGCACAATATCACATTTTCCACATTTGATGGCATTTTGGTCTGTCTCATATTCCGTTTATTTCTTAGGGAAAAACTCTTTTCTATTTCCCTTAAGTTCTTTGCAAATGGCATTCATGTTTTGCAATTCTACAGTCAGTCTCCACAGTGTTTTGCCTCTTGGCGATTCAATGTTGAGAGATTTTTTATTATAATAGTAAACCCTCCCAAACAAGGAAAACCCCTTTATTTTCCTTTAGCTCACTTTCTGTTCACTAACAGAGCAAATGTTAACTTTGACTGTACTAGTTAAAAGAAAAAATTATTTTTACCTAATGTCACTTTCCCAAACTCGATTTTCATCCAGATCTTCAATAAACTTCTCTCCTTTCATCCAGTAAATTAAAGGACTGACATCTCCACTGTACCCAAAGAAAGCTCTGCAGGTTAGATTAGCTGAGTCGCCTGCAGAGAGAAGTGATGGAAATGTGTTATAAAACTATTTGTACACTCTTCTTTTAGGCAAATTGGCAGGTAACATTTTAATCACCTCATTGATTTAATGAAACATTTACCTAAAATGTTTTTTCAGCTCTTTTTAATCTTTGTCAAATTTACAGAATATGTGCTTTTGACAGCTTGTTTAATGAAAATGGGAGTTACTTGTATGATTTTGAAGAAAACTGGTCAGCTGTTTTAGAGAAGGTTCTTCCAGTTATGCTTGCCTCATGTTTTTACGTGATTAGATTTAAGTTATGAATTATTGGGAATGATACCACAGAGGTGATGTGTCCTTTTCAATGTATGGTATCAGAAGGTACAGAATGTTAGTAATGACAAGATTTCATAGGGCAGTTAGAAGGTGTTTCTCAGTCCTTAATGCAGGAAATGGAAAGGAAACAGAATCTTTGGATGTGAAAGAGAAGGAACTGTAAATCCAGGAGCACCTAAAAATTTTATTAAAACATTTTTGCTATATATGGAGTAATGTTCTAATTAAGGAAACCAACATATGCTCAGGTAGAAATGTACATTTTAAAAAACAAACGAAGAACTCATGAGAGTAAATACTTGGGATTTTTATTAGATGTAAAATCAATGATGCTACTGTGGAGATTAGTTTCTTTTAACAAGCTACTCAGGAGAAACCACTGTAATGATGAAGACAGATTGGTTGATTACTTAATAAGGTATGTGGAAGTCCCTGACTAAAAGGCAGAAGTGAATTTAATACCTGCGAAAGTAAGGTCTATTTCTGGACAGATTAGACCATTTTGCAAATACTTGGTTCCCCCAAGCCTTGGCTGGCATTAGAGAACTGAAATATTCCTGTACATAGAAGTTTTAAGATCCTGGTGCCTCCAAGTGGAGTCAGAAAATGGACAACAAGATGGGAAGCCATAAGGGGACTACTCCAGCTTGGACTGGGACAAAGAAACTCTTCGGGTATGTAGAGTGCCAAGAGTGAGTTGCCCCAAGATGGGCCACTTTGGCATACTGATTATTTTAAATAAAAATGACTTAAGAGACAGCCCATACAAGAAGGACATTCAGATCTTCCTCTGTGTTGGTGAAAGCACAAAATGAATCTCCCAAGTGAAAAGTCCCCTCCCTGTACCAGAAAGTAAAGAAGACACCCTTATTGCCAGAGACAGAGTTTAGAGCTGTAAGAACAACCCTCGTTAACTTTTTACCAATGTTCAACTGCAGCCCAAATCTGTTTAGAATTCCTTACTAACTGAAGTTTTCAGAGTTAAGATTTCTTTGTTCTGTCAATTTCTCACAGATTTATTGGATCTTTGTCTAAAAAGTATAAAAGCTACCTGCCTTGGTCATTTCTTTAGGAATCAATTTCATTATTGGGCCTCCATGAGCACATAATAAAACTGGGTATTTTTTCTCCTGTAAATCTGTCTCATACCAATTCCTAGTCCAGCAGGAAGACTTTGAGTGGTAGAGGAAGAATTTTTCCTTCCCCTTAGGTACTATAAGAGTGGATGAAAACTGAGCCCCAGTGACACCTTCGTTTGCATCTGAAGCAAGCAGATTTTCTCAATTTCATAGATTCTTGAGAAGATTCTAAAGGACACTGACAACTAAATGACCTTAAAGTGCAAAGAAGGAGAGTCCTAAAGACTGGAAACCTCAGAGCTAAGTTACGAGTTAATAGAGGACATCTCCTGAAATTGTGCTTAAGAGTGATTGCATGAGTATACCTACTTGCAAATGACATATCTGATAAAAAGTTATATCCAAAATATATAAAGAACTTAAAATACTTAATACCTCCCCAAAATAATCCAATAAAAAATGGACAGTAGAGATGAACAGCCATTTCTCCAAAGAAGACATGTAGATGGCCAACAGACACATGAAAAGATGCTCACCATCACTGATCGTCAGGGAAATAGAAATCATGACTACAATGAAATATCACCTCACACTCGTCAGAATGGCTAAAATCTACAACACAAGAAACAAGAGGCATGGATGTGGAGAAAGGGGAATGCTCTTGTATTGCTGGTGGGAACGCAAACTGATATAGCCACTCTGGAAAACAGTATGGAGGTTCCTCAGAAAGTTAAAAATAGAAATTGCACCACTAGGTATTTACCCAAAGAATATGAAATACTAACTCAAAGGGATATATGCACCCCAGTGTTTTCATTGACTGATGAATGGATAAAGAACACGCAGCATATATAAAAAAAACAGAATATTACTCAGCTTTAAAGAATGACAGCTTGTCATTTGCAATCGCATGGACGGAGTTAGTTTATGTTAAGCAAAATAAGTCAGTGAGAGAAATACAAATACCATATGATTTCACTCATACATGGAATTTAAGAAAGGAAACAAACAATCATAGGGGAAAAAAAAGAGAGAGGCAAACCAAGAAACAGACTCTTAACTCTAGAGAACAAACTGCTGGTTACCAGAAGGGAGGTGGATGAGAGGATGGGTGAAACAGGTGATGTGGACTAAGGAGGGCACTTGTGGTGAGCACCGGGTGATGTCTGGAGGTGCTAAATCACTATATTATACACCTGAAACTAATATTACACTGTAAGTTAACTAACTGGAATTCAAATAAAAATGTAAAAAAATAAATTCTATTCTCCAAGTTCTACAATAAGAACATTTTTATTGGATAAAATTAATATCATTATCTTAACTATGTCCATTGTATAAGAATGATTTGTAAATAAATTCTTGCTTATCTAATATTTCTAAGATGACGTGATAGAGCTTTCTCCTTTTATTTCTGTTTATGTCTGCATATTCTCCAAGTAAGTGACACCTCATGGATTTTGAACCTATATGCAATAGTCATCATTAGTGACAAGAAAATCCAGAAAACATCTGCAAGCTTTTAAGAGGCAAAATGGAGCTTCAAGTAGGTTACAAAATAGATAATTGAAGGTCAATCTTATTGACTGGAAATGAACTGTGGGTTTCTATGGGAAATGTCAATCCAATGTTACAAAACAATTTAAAATCTAATATTCTTTGCTTCTGCCTTTTTATAAGAGGGCCAGCTTTTATGCAGCTGAACTACCTGTTACAGAGTCAAGATAGTCATGTATTCAACAGTAAATCTCAAAATACTACCTGGTGTGATGATTAACATCACATGTCAACAGAATCAACATATATTACAGAGTTTTCAATTTGTACATATATCAATAATTTACATAATCTGTCTTTCAAGAGATCAAGTTTTAGGTTTTTTTTTACATTTTTAAAAATTTTTTTAATTTATTTGTTTGACAGAAAGAGATCACAAGTAGATGGAGAGGCAGGCAGAGAGAGAGGAGGAAGCAGACTCCCCGCTAAGCAGAGAGCCCGTTGTGGGACTAGATCCTAGGACCCTGAGATCATGACCTGAGCCAAAAGGCAGAGGCTTAACCCACTGAGCCACCCAGGTGCCCCAAGTTTTAGTTTTTAGATAGGAGTTAGTGACTGGAACTCATACATAGAAATCTCCAGAAATTGCCTAATTTCCCATTACAGTTTTACTAAATATGGAGGTTTATAAATAATGATCATGCCATTAGCAACTCAGCTTGATATTAGTTAGCAGAGAGGTGAACCGAATCTCTCAGTGAGATAAGAATTTGTCTTTCCTGTCATTTTCCCACCTTCCCAGATCAAGTGATTTTTCCATACCTAATTCTTCATGTCTCTCATTTGCAAGCTTTGGGCTGCCACACCTAGGAAATGGCTACTGCACCCATCCTGAGGAATGATTTGCTTTCTCAGTCATCTTTGCTCACCTGATCTTTCACTACCTACCTTGCCTGGAGCTCCAGTACTGGAGGTATCTGCAGTGTTATAGGGACACCTAGGGAATCTAAACAGACTTGGCCTGGGCTTGCTGTGGGTCAAATAGTGGAATTCATGGAAGGAATAAAAGAGGGTAGAAGGAAAAACAGAAAAGCACGCCAGGCTGAGAGAAAATAGCATGAATGAAAGAATGCCAAGGAACTTTGGAGGAAATAAATAACTTCGGAAGGGCTGAAGCTCAAGTGTATGTGGGGATGGGGATTGGATTAGGGAGAGAATAGAGCACTGACTAGACCAGAGCAGTGGCAGCCCTATCCCTCCATGGAGGCATGTTGAAGAGTTGGGCCTTCCATTTAAAGGCAAGGGGTAAGTTGGGGAAAGGTTTCAAGTAGGAGATTGACATAATCACATCTGAATTCTAAGGAAATCACTCTTACCATATTTGCAAAACTGGGATTGGATCATGTTATGTCCAAGTTTTCGCATCCAAGAGACCACCAAGGAGCCAACACCAATGCAATCACACGAGGGTTTATTTGACAAGCTTAAACTTGGGTCCAAGTATACCCGACACAGCGGAGTAGGGACTTGGACCCTGAGGCTAGTTAAGGCAGGGGTTTTTATGGGTCATTACAAGAGGCTTGGGGGGGTGGGGAGGAGAAGTTTCAGACTTTTGTGCAGTAAGCTGATTAGCTGTTGCCCCGTTGTTGCAGGGTGGGGTACTTTCTTGGAACTAAAGCAGGGTAGGGGTCCCTGGAACTAAAGTAAAGTAGGGGAAAGTTCAACCCTTGGGCCTGAGATGGCTGCCAAAGCTAAGATGGCTGTACTTGTGCTAATGCTAAACTCGAGGTGGGACGGCCTTAATTTTATCAGCCTCCACAGATCAGAGGGAAGAAAGAAGGATTTAGAATGTTATAATACTTCAGGATCACATAAGGAACAGTTGTTGCAAAGCTTGGATTGTTTCCACATAATTTCTTAAAAGGTGATAGCAGTGACTATAGATCACTATGCTCTTTATCAATATGATAGGAAACCTTCCAAAGTGGAGATTAAATAGAAAGCCTGATAAGGTGGAAAAACATACTTTTTATTTTTTTAATTTACATGCATCAGTATGTGTGTAGGGGGAAGACAGAGAGAGAGACAGAGAGAGAGAAGTAGACTGGGGCGTTGCC